CTCTCTCTCTCTCTCTCTCTCTCTCTCTCTCTCTCTTTTTTTTTTTTCTTTTCTCTCTCTCTCTCTTTTCCCCTTGCTTGCGGGCCCCCCAAATCCCCGGGCCCGGGGCATTGGCCCCCCCTGACCCCCCTCTCGACAGGCCTGCACTCGAGCTAAAACTCTCAAATCAACGTTGCCAGGTACCAAAATGGACACATTTCACGAACGCCAAAATGGCAGCGGACGTCCTCGACCTTCATATACTGGGCGGCTGCAGGTGAGAGGGAAGTTGGTCAAAACCGTTTTGATGGCATTTGACTTTGAAATTGTTTTGGGTACAATTCATCTCCTTTGGTTATGGATTGACTTGGTAGCCGAATAGTAAATACTGTATGTAACCCCCCCCCCCCCCCCCCCCTAAAATCGACACAATTTAGATCGTGTAGTGGACGGTCAGCTTTGAACCTCTTATTAAGGGAAAATCTGTGTTGTGTGGGACACAATGCCCCAGAAAAAAGACGTAGACATTTTACCCTAAAATTAAGGAAGTGGGAATCTAAATAAATCAGATATTTTACTTGCAAAATGAACAATGTAACCCTAACTCCGCAGGAGTCTCCTACATAGAAATGCTTATTATGAGAGGTAGACCCCCAGCCAGGGGCGGCTCGTGGGGCTAAAAAGTGGATGTGCACAATTAAGCTATCGCATGCTGAAGATACTCACGGTCATAGTAAAGGAGACGGCGCATAATTGTAGAATCTTTGTGTTGGTGAGGGAGGACCTCGTGCTTTTATTTTCATTCTTTTTACTTGTCGCTTTGATTTATAGTACTAAATTTGTTTGTTAGCTAATCATCAATTTCGTTCATCCTGTATTGGAACTGAACACTCTAGTAATAACTTTCGTTACCCCATTACAAAACCATTCAAAGGCACAACTCGTAGAACGGTCACGTTCACATCCTTCAGGTTTACGGTCACAGAGTCACTTAAAATAGTGGCAAGACAGACAATGAACCAATCACAATTCACTTGAGCACTCCGCTGGATTGCTCCGGGGCTCATATAATATTGGCAAAGAATAACGTACGGTCTATCGTGTTTATTTTTAGACTGCCTAATGTGGGCTACGTTTCGGCACTATTCGGCAGGAGCACATTTGAGATGTGCCGTCTTATTAATATTAATGTACCGCCAAACTCGCTACGAGTGTCGTCATCGCTTGGGTTATCCCCAAGAGCGATTTATAGGTCAGGTTATACTGTTGAATATCCTATTATGTTAAGCTACAGCGCGTGGACTTTGGCATGGCATAGTAGATATTTTACGGCGCTATAGACACAGAAATGACAGTTATAGCGCCAGTGAAGACCTTGTTTTGATATAATATTTAACTAGTGTTTGTTCGTGACTTCTTTTATTTTATTATTGTGGGTGTTTTACGTAATAGAACATTTTTAAAAATTTCGGGCGGCACTGCACGACCGTGCTCTATGGACGAACCGCGCCTGCCCCCAGCGTCTGAGCTTGAGCTTGTGACTTGTTGTCCTGTACTTTTGGACCAACAATTTTTTTTTAAAACTTTGTGTGTGTTTGGAGAGGGAGTGGGTGTGTGTGTGGG